TAAAAAAGAAAAAAAGAAGACTAATTATTAAATAAATAAATATTTTTTTTCCACTATGCCTCACACCTATGCGGCTATTTGCAACATTGAGTTTTACCAATTATAATAGTAGACATTTACCAATGGAAAGTTAGTTGGTATTGGTTAAGATTTTTATCAACGAAAATTTTGTTGATAAAAGATTCACACTTTACCAATGAAAAATTCGTTGATAAAAGGTTTACTCTTACCTACGGCACGATCTGCTGGTAACTATCAGCGATCCCCAAATTTAACAACAAATTTGTGGTTGCTAATATTCCGTTAGTAAAGAGTAATAGCAACAGATATCGTGGTTTCAAAAACGAAAAAATCCATGTCTAAAGCCATTTTTTTTGTAGTGGCTTTAATATTTAGTTATAAAGGTTAATAATCTCTTCTCTTAAATTTATAAGATTCTCCCAAGAGGAGACTGCGCAACCAAATAAATCCATCCTCGAATCATATATTAATTAATTTTTTTTGCTTATAAGCTCATAATTTTGGCTGTTTGTGTTTTGGTTGGTAATTATAAGTTTGTTTCCTTTTATATTATAAGAATATTTGGACCGGTAGTAAAACATATTTTGAAATTTCTCATATATTTTCTTCCATCAAATCAATACTTAAAAAAAGCATAAAAAATAAGATTTCAATTTTCATAACATGAACGATTTATAACTCAAATAATGTGTTGATTTTTAGGTTTCCATTAAAGATAATATTTTATGATTAGGGTTTTATGATTTTAATTAAAGATGATATTTTATATATGATTATTAGAATTTTAGTTAAACACAATCTCTAAAAGAATATAAAAAGGTCTAAAAGAATTTATGAAAATAAACATTAGTGGATGAATTTAGAAAAATATTTTTTATTTTAAATCTATATATGTCTATTTAGGTAAATTTACATAAGATAAGAAATATAGACCTTATTTGAGCCCATTTTGGGGAAAAATGTATTTTTGAATAGTGTATTGATAGGAAATGTGTGACTGAAAAATAAGGAAAAGTTTTGATTTTGAGTGTAATATTATTTTATTGAAAAATGGGATTGAAATGATATCAAAATATTATCTAAAAATACTTTTTTTTTTCCAAAGAATGGGGCTCAAACAAGGGCATAATATAATTATCTTTTCAAAAGTGAATGTATATATAAAAACTATGGATGTAAATAGCGGTATCCTTTGAAAAATAACTAAACTCTTATATAATGATAAGAATGAAATATAACAACTATAAATGGAATAAAATCCTAATCCAATTAAAATTAAGAAAATTATCTAGAAAAGTAAAAAATGCATTTTTGGAGCCCTAACGATGAATTTTGTCAAAACGAACCATATATCATGGGCAAAGCCCATGAATTTTGCTCATTAGGACAGATCCACTCAAAATAAATACAAATCTCCGAAAATGAACAATCCAAAAAAATTTTGGCCTCAATCCCACTTTTCCATGAACTCTTCTTCTTTTTTATTGCATCACAGTTGAATAGAAACCCCAGTTTCTAGAAAAATAGGCTACATTTGAAGATGCAATTGTACGAGTTAAAGATGGATGAGGATACCGACGTTAGAAATTATCATAATAAATTTAATAAGTTCATGACTGAGCTACTTAATGTTGATATCAAGATTGAGGATGAAGATGAGGATATAATTTTATTGACTTCCTTACCCAAGTCGTATGAAACATTGATGACCATGTTATTAGTCAAAAATTTTACTTTAACAGTGAATTGACTGTCTTGTTAGAAATAGCCAACATTAAGAAGTCATATTGTGAATGGTGATCAAAGTTCTTTTGGCAACTTTTGCGAGTAGGCGTGGTAGAAGTAAATTGCTACAAGGAATTATGGTCAGATGGATGACCATTCTTATATCGTATTAGGACAGATATGAATGTTATTATTGTCACAAGAAGGGACATATTTGAAGAAATTGTGAGGAATTGAAAAGGGACCTTGAACTTGAAGTGAAGAGAGATCAAGAGTCTAAAGAAATTTCAAAGAATGCAAATTTGGTTGAAGGTGATTGAAGGAGATATTTTAAATATTGTTTATTATGAAAGTCCAACTAGCTAATGGTGTTTGAATTCTGGATATTTTTATCATATGTGCCTACACAAGGGTTGATCTGCAAGGCAAAAAGTCATGCAAGAGCGTAATATTTTTTAGTTGATACTCAAAAACTTGAAATTAAGGGTTCGGTTAGGTGAAAATATTTGATGGAGCTAGTGTAATGCTGGTGAAAAAAAGAATCTTTAGAGATAATGAAAGGGGAAAAGATTGGTAATTTATGTATAGGCTCATAGGGAAGAAAGTTTCATGTGGACCGAGAATAGTCTTCTACGATCTAAGTTGCCAAGAGGTGTTCTCTGAGTAGTGATAAAAAGGATGAAGATCGTAAGTTCGAAAATATCAAAGCATGGAGTGAGGTTTGATGAATTTTTGAATATTGTTCATGTATACTGAAATTGAATGGGCTATAATGGCACCTACCAATAAAGGGGTATGAAGTTAGATGCTAAGAAGTGATCGTGGATTTAATATTTTAATTCAAGGTGGAGATTGTGAAATTGACTTAATATAACTAAATTAAATTGAAGAACTAAAGCTGCAATTTCCTTAAGACCTTAACTATGTAATTGAAAAGGTCACAAAGCAAAAGATTGTGTTGAAGCTGCAGTAAAAGAGGAAAAAATTAGAAGAAAAATTAGGGTTGGGGAAAAACTTACCAAAAAACTTCAAGGCCAAGATATATATACAAGCAAGAATTGTTGAAAACTACATAGAGTACTCGGAGGCAGCAGAGAGAATAAAACTGGTGCAGCTAAATTCTTGAGAATCGAGAGATAGATAAATTGAGGAAAAGTTATCAGTTTGTTTTTGTCTTACTTTGTTTGATCTAGTTTTGTATAGGGATATTTGTGAAGGGGAGTTAAGCATTATTTTGAGTAGTTTTTCTCAACTGATAGTCTCCTCACTCGTGATTGTTGATGGTTTGTCGAATCACGTTTAAATGTTATTTTTCTCTTTTTTGTCTCATTTTGTGTTTTATGCTTCTACTGCATTTGGTGGGAACTAATTTTCCCAACAGCATGTTTACTTCCTCAGAAAGTTCAAATTTAGGTTTATTAGAGCTGTAGTTCAATGAGTTTATCCCATTCCAGATATCCTATTGTCTTCCTATTGTTTTCTGTCTAAGAAACCCTAATTTTCAACATGAATAAATTGTTTCAGCAATCTGCTTTACTTGTCATCATGTATATCTATGGTTCGAATTAAGAGTATAATTCCATCATTTCACAAGAAAAAATTAACTCTACTAGATCAAGTTTGAATATATAAAGGTTGCAGATTTGAGACAGAGAGGTAATTGAGTGAATTGAGAACAATTGAGGCAAATTTAGTTTTCTCAAGTACAATTAACTTAAGTTAATTACGCTATTTAGAAAGTTATTAAAGCCACACACATTTCACATCACATGATTATGAATCTGGTACTTTTCCTCTAATTTAATTACAAGAATACAAACAAATGAATTTAACTTGCTGATTACTTTATCCATCATAGTCTCCCATTCATTTAAAATTTCACTCAAGTTGTTACCTTCCTGAAAAGTATAATTACTTAAACATAGAATCACACGACCAAGTAAATACTCGTCCATATCGAGTGTATATAACATGTAATATTATCTAAAAAAGTGAAGAACAATTCCACTTTTTAAAGCCAAGATTGAACAACTAAAATAAGATAGAGGGAAACTTTATAACAAAGACTTTTACCATGATTATGCTTGTTATGATGTTTTAGGATTGGATCACATGATCTTTTTGTCCCAGTAGAGATTTATTTATCCAAAAGCTTCAAAGTGCATACAGATAGAATTTAACTGGTATCTCTTCTGCTCAAACTGTAGGAGTTATACATGACTTAGCAAAACATAGCCACTTGTTTAATTCAATAGCCAGTCCCCTCCCGGTCCCATTTCGTCATGACCCTAAAATTTCACAACGGTCTTTACCTTTCTTTGTCATAGTACCATAAATAGTAGTATTCTTAGGCCAAAAATAGTTGGAACTAACGTTTAACAGAAAACAAGGGCCACTTATTTTCATAGTAGTAGTAAACAACTAAAACTGGGTGTGGGGCTTTAAGACGAACATTGAAAGTTCAAGCTGTGATTTTTCTTCATGATCCTCATTTTCTTCAAGGTTAGTGACCTTGGCCAGCTTATCAATGGACCTTTGACGAGACAGTGCTTTTATCATATCCAAAAAATTATGAAAACTTTAAAAAGTTGTATTTATATTCCACTAATCGCTCGAAACTACACTATTAGATTATGTCATGCCTTGAGAACGACAAGGACAATTATCTATCCCTGCCGAATTACTATAATTAAATACTTAATTGCTTTTATTAAAAAAATAACAAAACAGCATTGAATAGATTATACAGCACTATAATTTCCTGTACTGGATGCATCAATGGTTTTAATTTAAGCATAAAATTAATGAAAAAAATAAATTATTTATTATGTAACTAATTTCATGGGGTTCTTTCGATATGGTATGTTTTAAAAGGAAAAACAAAGGAAATCATAATCTGTAAAATCAATGGAAAGATTAACATATAAAGATCTGCAGGTAAGATTTCTCGGACCTATAATTATAGATCAAGAAGCAGGATTGAGATGACCACTTTTTCACAGAAATAAAGCCTGGTCATTGTACTTGTTTGATAAATACAAATCACCAAAATCTCAACTTGCATCCAATGTACAAATTCTATTTCATGTATAGTAAAAATAAGTATATATACAAGTACGAAACTACATAGCCAAATAACAAAAATACAGCATAAAAAACAATCAATTTTAGTGTTTAAACGTGTGTGTATATATATATATATTTATTTATTTATTTATTTATTTATTTATTAAAAGCATTAATATAGTATATACCTGGAACTTGAGAATTCATAGAGTTTTCCTCCGGGAGAGAAGATTATAAGTGCAACTTCTGCATCACAGAGAACAGAAAGTTCAAAGGCCTTCTTGAATAGTCCACTTCTGCGCTTGGAAAAGGTAACTTGCCTGCTTGTTGCATTTTCAATCCTTTTCATCTGAGTTTTCCCTCTCACCATTTCTATATATTTATTTATATATGCAACAATTTCAATAAAGGTTGAGTGAAATGTTAAAAAAAAAAAAAGGTTAAGGGTTCAATACAAGTGTCGGAAAAGAGCAACCAAATCAAGATAAGCGTCCACCTAAGAGGGTTTCCAGAAATAGAAAGGGATATGTTGAAAAAACAGACAGAAATTATGATGGGTTTTTCAGATCTGTGAAAATAAGGGAAGAAAAAGGAAGAAAAATTTGTGGGTATTAGAAACCCTAAAGTGATTTTCCAAGAAGATTGAGCAAAGAAATGGATGACCTTTTTCTATTTGTGTGCTTGATTAAGGAAGGAGCAGAGAGGAATAAGAACCTCATCTCTTTCTTGATATGGAAATCTCACCAGGAGCACTAAAATAGACAACCTAAATTGGAATGGAGAATAATACTGCAAGCAACAAGTGGAAATTAACTGGAACAATTCTTCATTTTAATTATTGTGTGAAGTTGATTTTTGAGAAAAAATTTCATAAGAAGTAATTTTTTTGAGAATCTGTAATTAAGAAATAAAAAATAAATATGAAAATAATTTTTTTGGAATGCATAACTAAAAATGAGTATGAAGAAAAAAATAGTTAAAAAATTAATTTCAAACCGGGACTTAGATAGGATTCTTCGTCCCTTCGAGACCTACAGAGCTACGAAATTTTCATTTTTATATACAAGTATAGGTGTAGACATTATAATGAATTCTGACTATCAAAGTTTCATTTTAAAAAACCAATATTTATTAGATAGTAGTTGAAGGTTTACTTATTACTTATTCTTTATATATTTTGGCAATGTAAAATTTGCTTTTGAATATTTTTGCAAGATGGTAACTTTATAGTGTTTTTTAAAAAGAATAACTTGGTACTTATATTTATTTGATAGCCCTTTTTATAATAAACTCATTTTTTTTGTGTAGATTAAAATCAGATATTCAGTGTATTTGTAAATAGTTGATGGTATATATAATTGAAAAATAGTAAATCCTATAAAATATGTAATTAAAATTAATTGTCAACTTTAACTTGAGATCTAATTGAATTTTAACTCAAACCAATCAAAAATTAATTTGTCATCATTCAGTCATGTAAAATGACTATGGCACCATTTTATTAGAGATCATCTATGCAAATGTAGATAAAAATCATGAGATATAATAAAGTGTCTAATGGAATAATAATTCTTGTTAACTTTGTTGAACTTGACGAGAATGTTTAAATGGTTCGAAGTTGGTACATAAATGAAATGCTCAATTTTGTCTTGTTTAATGAAATGCTCATATGATTTGAAGTTCGTACAAAAATGAAGAGGGAGAAATTCGAAATACTTTTAAATAGATAAAGGGAATGTTATAAAAAAAATTTAAAATAAATAACTTATTTAGAAACAAAAAGTTGTGAACATATCTCGCGATATCCACTAAAAGTGACTTCCACATCTACTTTCCTCGTTATTATTTTATTTTTCATAATTAAGATGAGCGTGATTTTACCTTCAAGATATGCACTTCGTAAGTCAATGTAATTTACCAAAATTGGAAATTAAAAATATTTGTATTAAATTCTCAAATATTGTCACTTCTTCCACTATATTAAATTAAAATACTTTGAAATATCATTGTAAAAGATAATTGGAAAACCAAGGTATAAACTTAAAATAATTCCCTTTTTAAATTGGATTTTATTAGAATTTTCAACTGATTTAGATCTACATGAATTTCATTATGGGTTGTTTGAGCCCAATTTTTTTTGAAAAAAAAAAAGCATTTTGTAATTGTGTTATGATGAAAAATGTATGATTAAAAAATAAGGAAAAAAATTTGGAATTGAATGTAATATTATTTTATTGAAGAACGAGTGGTTGAAATGAAAACAAATCACTATTCAATATCGCATTTTAATGAAAAAGGGGGACACAAACAGGGGCATAAATTCATCTAAAAATAAAGCATTAATATTAGAAAGTCTAACAATGTACTTAATTTCAAAACGGAAGAAATTATACCATTGTACTTATGTGGAATCTTGTGTCCTTTAAAAAGTAGAATTCAATAGGTGGGGTTGGAAATAAATTTGCTTTTAGATACTTGTTTCAATTTTATTTTGTGGTTACAATTATTTCATTTTTCGAAAATATTGACTAAGATATTTCAAATAATATATAACTCATATTTGATAGAAATTAAAATCTAGATTTTAACATATATATCAAACTCAGCAACTATTTTTAAATATATATTTCATAAGATTCATAATTTTTCAACTACACATTTTATTAGATTTTATCAAATTCTATTAAAAATTTAATTTTAACCCTCATCAAGTAGGAGCATAATACTTACACCATAGGTGTCAAGGAGGTAGGGTCCATGCTCACCTAACAAAAGTAGTTAATTTTCACTTGGCCCTTGTTTGAGTCACATTCTTACCAAAAAATGTATTTTTAAATAGTGTATTGATGAAAAATATGTGATTAAAAAAATAAAGAAATTTTTGAATTTGCATATAATATTATTTTAATGAAGAATACGTGGTTGAAATGAGTCAAATCACTGTTCAATAATGTATTTTGATAAAAATAATGGGGCTTAAATAAGAGCTAAATATAAAAATAAGATTAAACAAGTTGAGGACCATTTCCAATTTTTTTTCCAACTTTTCATATCAGAATGTTCCAACGTTTGTCGAAGGTATTAATCCTTGATATATTGAGTTAATAAAATTGACAAGTGATATTTAAATATTCATTTGTGTCAGCTAAGAACATATACTACTATATAGCACTTGTGGATAAGAAAATACTAATAAAAATTTTCTTAAACAATAGTATTTTCTGAATTATATTAAAATATTAATAGATATCATCTGATGGAAGTATTTTATATATTTAAACAATAAGATAAAAAAAAAATTACTTTTAATAGTTTGGCGAGAAATCTTTTGATCCTTTGGATCCATCATAGGAAGGCTGTAGCTCTTATTGTTTCATTCCTAAGGAAAATAAAGCACTCCACATACTCGCTTCACTTGTTATAGATTGTTTAGGTGATAAGGAGTGAACTAATTGTATTTTGATTTCTATAATCTTCGCAGTTTGCGATGATCAATATTAAGCTCCCATTTGACCCTAATTCTTTAAATTCCATTTTTTCAAATTTATTTTTGATCACAATTTTTATCAATTATTTAATTATACATTTCATCAACTATTATCAAAATCTATTAAAAATCTGATTTTTATTCAAACCAAATAGGGGCAAATAAAGTTTATATTTAGCGAAAGCATGATTCGAAACTTCTCTTGAGTTGAACGCTCATGGTGATTGTGCGGTATATTCTACAATATTGATTAAATAATATTATATTATATTTAAAAACACAAAATAAAAGTAAATTCATTTATGGTATTTTGTATAGTTTAATTTTATGTACCAAACATATTTAATCCCTATTTAACAATTATTATTTTCATACTCTTTTACTTACATGCTCATTTTCAATTATATATTCACACAATAAAATATTTTACACGTAAATTTAAATTTATCCTACTTTTTATTTTAATCACATATTTTCATAAAAATTACTATTTAAAATATTATTTTCTACTTTTAATAAAAAGGGGAAGGAGAGTCTATTATTCGTGCAATAATAAAATTAATCCAATTTTACTATGCATGATGTCATTTTTTATTTTTCATTTTTTTATGTCAAACAAATGTTCTTCCACACATCATCCCACTAGCATTAAAAAATAATTATGTCAAACAAATGTTCTTCCATACATCATGTTACTAGCATTAAAAAAATTAATAATAACTTTAGTAAATGTAAATTGCCATAAGCAAAAAGAAAAAAACTCTTCGCACAAAAGTTAAAAAAAAAAAAAAACTCTCTGCACAGTGCAGAGAGATGTCAAACCATGTGCGGAGTAAAAAAAGAAAAAAACTCTCCGCATAGTGCGAAGAGATAACAAGCCATGTGTGAAGAGTTGACAAACTCTCCGTACAGTGCGAAGTAAAAAAAAAATCTTTCCGCACAGTGCGGAAAGATGCAAACACCATGGCAAAACTTTCTGCACAGTGCGGACAGATAGCATTCTATACGGATACTGTCCTCACAAAGTGCGGACTTTCCGTACAGTGTTGAGTAAAAAAAGCAAAAAAAAAAATAATAATAATTCTCACGGTGCGGAGAGTTGGCAAACTCTCCATACAGTGCAAAGTTATAAAAAAAAACGTCTCTTCACACAGTGACTGTCATGTGCGTTACACAAATTTTACATTTATCGTATTTTTATTAGTATATGAATTTTAGTTTTTTGGAAAGTTTTTGAAACAATATCTAGAAATATTTTCATGATATAAAAAAATAATTGTAAATTATTTTTACAATTGTATAACAATATTGTGTCATCTATAAAAAATATATTTGTATATTTCATATTAAAATAAGAAATATACGAGATTATACAAATTATTTTACTTGTATTTTTTGATAGTGTTGATATGATTGAGTTGAATGTGAAGATTATATTTCTAAATTTTGTGTAATTCAATATTGAAAAATTGATGATTGAGCACCATATTCATACGTATTTATATTTTGTACTTCGTATATATTTAATATTTATTTTATGCTTATGTTTAAGAAATAAAAATCTGAATTTTTTTTTTTTGAAATTTGGTTTGGTAAGTGAATATACGGGTTCTGCATTTTTGATATTTGTAAGTGCAAAAATCGGTATATAAAATACAGTAAGCTGCAAATACGGTAGGCAGCATATATGGTAAGTTGTAAATACGGTAGGCAATATATACGGTAAGCTGCAAATACATTAAGGTGAAAATATGGTAAGTTGTTTGCAAATATGATAAGCATCATATACGTTAAGGTGCAAATACGATAAATTGTTTGCAAATACGATAAGCAACATATATGGTAAGGTGCAAATGTGGTAGGCAGCATATACGGTAAGTTTCCTGAAAATACGGTAAACTGTATATATGGATTTATAATTTGCAATAAATGTATAAAATTTATTTAATATTGAATTTCTTAAGTATTAAATGTTGTAATTCAATATTGTTTCCTTTTTTATAATTGTATTTCCGCGAATTAAAAAAAAAGTAGTTATGAAATTGATAATTTTTAAATGTGTTTTTCGTTGATTTGTCATCTTTCCGCACTGTGCGGTGAGTTTTTTTTTTTTACTTCGCACTGTGTAAAGAGTTTGCCAACTCTTCACACGTGGTTCAAATCTCTCCGCACTATGCGAAGAGGTTTTTTTTTCTCTCCGCACTTTTTTTACTCTGCACATGATTCAACTCTCTACGCACTGTGCGGAGAATTTTTTTGCTCTTCGTACTGTGCGGAGAGTTGGTTTGTTATCTCTCCG